AAAAAAAAAAAAAAAAAAGAATAGAGCCAACAGGACACACATCTGTGCAACACTCCAGCTAAGAGCTTTGTCCTTTCCTACAAAAGAATGCGATTCTACTCCCCTATTCTGATTCCCCTTGCCTAGGAAAAACTGCAAATGAACTGATACAATCACACCACATTTTGCTAACATCATTCCTCTATTTACCAATTGCATTTATGAGCCAACTGGGGTTATAAGAAACACCTGCTAAGGCTGGGCACAGTGGCTCACACCTGTAATTCTAGCACTCCGGGAGGCCGAGGTGGGAGGATCGCTTGAGGTCAGGAGTGTGAGACCAGCCTGAGCAAGAGCGAGATCCCGTCTCTACTAAAAGTAGAAAAAATTAGCTGGGTGTGGTGGTGCCTGTGGTCCCAGCTACTCGGGAGGCTGAGGCAGGAGGCGCACTTGAGCCCAGGAGTTTGAGTTGGCTGTGAGCTAGGCTGACGCCACAGCACTCTAGCCTAGGTGACAGAGACTCCGTTTCAAAGAAAAAAAAAAAAAAAGAAGAAGAAGAAACACCTGCTATATTATATATGTAATGGAATCCAACTGGTACACTCTAAATCTACTAGAATAAACTTTAAAAAAAGACACCTGGCGCAGCAAAATAAACTCTACCTTTACGACAACGTATCTTTCTGGGGTGCCTGGGTCTAGATGTCAGTACAACCAAATATGGATAGAAATGGGGATGAGAGGAACTATCTTCACTCACTGGGGAAACTCACCGCTCAGCTCTGCAGCACCAATACATCTGCCTCAAACTTGCCCAGCCTTTCTGTGATTAGAATCTTGTAACAACTCTTCATACAGATTTTACCATCAATCTTAAATTAAGTATCTGATGAAAACTTCCCACCACCAGAACTATCCAAACCTGTTCTGATTCCAGAGCTCAGATTCTCCCCACATTGTTCACAATCTTTAACTCCACAGGTGTGATCCCATGTGGATGGACCAGAATAATTAGTTTATCTAATTTCAAAACAGAGCAATCCTTTTATTAGCATTTCAACTTTTTTTTTAAATGCAGTTTTTTCTCCAAACCACGGTTCTGAGATTCTAAACCCTGTATATTTTTGGCCAGAAGGCCAATTTATTTCCTACGCCAAGTGTATTTTCCACTCCTCAAAAATGTAAGGTAAGAACCAATATCCTGTGCTTTTCTGTCTTAATGTAAATAAATGAGCTGCTTTATTAAGCAGTCAGCAGAGAAAACACACATGTGTTTACAGAGGTGCTGAGTGGGAACAGCAAACACATATTCCCTGTGCAGAAGAGACCAGATTCCCACAACTGCTTATAAACCTCTTTTCTTTATAAATTACCCAGCCTCAGGCATTTCTTTATAGCAGCAGAAAATGAACTCAGACACTATCAGATTTCTCCAAAAGGTGAGAGTGTTTCTAAAACATTTCTATGTCATTTGACTCTGTAATCTTGCTTCTCAAAACTTATGCCAAGGAAAATGATGTACAGGAATTTTTTTTTTTTTTTTACGTAACAGAAATTCATCACAGGTTTGTTTAAAAGAGGGGAAGAAAAAAAAAAGAAAGCTACCAAATTAGCTAAATATCCAAAACAAGACCAGTTGAAACTTTTTTAAAAAAAGATTTAAACCAAACTTGTGCAGAAGTTTGTCATGTCTTCAATTACCATAGCACATTTCCCCAGTTGTTAATTTATAAACAAAAATGGACACAGAACTGTGTAAGAGAAACTATTCCTTTGCCTGAAAGTATTGCTCGGGCCACCTTCGTCCCAAGGACAGAAAGATCGTATTCCAAGGTTAGGATCCTCGCACTTCACCAATGACCATCTGTAGGCGGAATAAAGCCCCCCAGCAAAGAAGTCTATGTCCTTATCCCCAAAGTGTGAATATTGCCTTACATGGAAAACGGATTTGCACATGTGATTGAGGATCTTGGCGTTAGTCGGGCGGGCTCAAGGTAATCACCGGGGTCCTCATACGAGTGAGGCGGAGGGGAGGGGAAGGGGAGTGG